TGTAAAAAAATTAAACTTTATAATTTATAACTTGAACAATTATCAAATAATAATAGTATACATTAGCTATTATATTTAAAAAATTTAATAATCAAACTCTTGTAACTATTCTTGAAATAAAGTTATAAGCATCTAAGTTTTTGGATTATTTTAATATGTTATTTTAAGATTAAAAATATTGACATTTTTAAAATATCATGATATGGCAAATTTTTCATTATTAAAAGAAATAGTTTATATTACCTATCAGCATTTGTACATAAGGTAATAGAAAGATATTCTTTATTTTATTATGTTTAAAAAGACATTTTATAACTAAAGTTTTATCTGATTCTAATCTATATAAAAAATATAAATTTATATTATAAGTTACTATTTTAAATTATAAATAAAATTTATAATAATAATAAAAATATATACTGGTAAAAAATTCAGTTTCATTTATATTATAGATTCATTTGAGAGGATAATTGATGCTTTATTTTGTAACAATGATAATGTTTTAGCAATATTATTTTAATTAACAGATACTGTCTCTCTATAAAGATTTTTCTAATAGATTCTGTTTTATTTTTTGAATTCTTAAAGCTAACCAAAAGAGAATTTCAAAGCCTCTTTAGGAATTTCTAATTTATTTATTTACTATTAATTTAGCTTTTTAGTTAATATTACATCACTTAATATTGCTTGATACTGATAATTTAAATAAACACTTTTAAAGCAAGTTCAAGTTAGAAAAAGTAATAGATTTATTTTGTTTTTATTCTGAATAAATAACTTTTGTAATAAATCATTTATTTGAATCCTATAAATTTGTGTTATTGTAGACTTATCAATTCTAACATCCTAATTTTTTTCAATTCAATTGATATATTATACTTATTAGTATATAAACAAAGCTCATATTTTTAAGAACTTAAATAGATTATTTTTTTTTAAAAATATCATATAAAAAAATATATAAAGTCATTTAAAGAATATATATAGTATAATTTTAATAAATAAATTTTGTAGTATTAATTTAAATAAAAAAGAAATGGTATTATGATATAATATTAGATAAAAAAGGTAATATTTTTGTGAAATTGAAGTTACTAAATTAAAAGTTAGAAGTTAAAAGTTAAAAGTAGAATTAGGAATTAGAAGTGAAATTGAAAATTAGAAGTTAAAAGTTAAAAGTTAAAATTGTAATAATTAAATTGTAAAAGTTGAAAATTATTAAAAGTTGTTAAGAAGTTGAAGTAGAAGTTGAAGTTAGAAATTATTACTGAAAATTATTTAAGTTTAAGTTGGAGTTAAAAAATGAAGTTGAAAGCTGTTAGATTAGAAGTTGTTAAAGTAGGAAGTTATTGAATTTTTTAATTTTTAAAGATTATAAATATAATAATAGAATCTTTGATAAAAATTATTAAATATCTTTTGAATTAATTAGAGAAATTGAAAAAAAAGAAAAGTATACTTTTTTTAAACATTTTATTTTATTTAAAACAATTGAATTTGCTTATTACTGATAACTGTTAATTTTTTTTTAGTATAATAATTATATTAAGAGATATATAATAATAAAATATTTTAATAAAAGTCACATGATTATAGTATGTGTAATTACATAAATGCATTTAAGAAGATGTTTGCTAATATAATTTAGACTAAAAATTATTATATAATGTAAATAAGAAAGATATACATTTAGCATTAAATTTTAAGCTTAAGATCAACCAAAAGATGCATTTAGTAAGATGTGTATTTATAAAGAGTGCTTTTATAAGAAGTTATCTATAATTAAATTAAAAATTTTAATTTATATCTTAATACTTTACTTCTAATAATCTTTAAAATTTTCAATTCTTCATTAGTTACTTCAAAATTTTCTAATAAGAAATTATAAAAATTATTAAATTTTTATACTAATTAGTATTACTTTTAAAGAAATAATAAGAACAGTATTTTTATTTTCTTATAAATTATTAGCATTAAAATTCAATTTTATTATTTTAACAATTTTATCGTCTAATAGTAAAACATCATCATTATGTAATTTATTAGCATTTATATAATTAGCTGTAGATAAAAGATTATTAAATAATATTTTGCTTATTATGTTTTCTAAATCTCTTTAGTTTTTTCAATTAATTTAATAATAGTATTATCATTTTTATCATTCTCATTATCCTCTTCATCATCTTCAGATAGAAAAATTCTAATTTTTTTTTTAACAGTTTTTAATGTAATAGATTTAACTTAATTTTATACTTTTATAACAAATTAATTACATTACAAATTGTAACTAGTGCTGCTTTATTATTTAATTCTTATGTTAGATTACATATTTTAACTCTATTCTCTATTAAAAATTTTTGATATTTAGCTTTGAATAAATTAATTATTTTTGTATTTAAAATTGCAAGTGTAATGTAGTATTTAGAGGTAAAAATTTTTTTTTTTTATAAGTAAAGGTATTATCTATTAATAAAAAAATATTTTTTCTTTAATATGTATCAAACTATTTAAATTTTTCAAATAATCTATCAAATTAATTGTTGTATATATGCAGTCTTATTTCAATAATAAATTACATTATTTTAATAGATATATTACAAAGAGACTGAGAGTTTTTATACTTATGTATAAATAATAGCTTAAGTTTATCATCTTTAGTAATATTACAAATTAATAAAATGGTAACTCTATTTTTAGATTTTTTAATTTTAACTACTTAATCTTATACAAGTATTTAAAGAATTTTAATTTTCAAAAAAAAAGCTAAATAGAAATTAAAATATTTTATTAATTTTAATATTAATTCTGATTAAAATAAAATTAATAAAATTAAATTTATTTAAATTACTAGTTTTATTATAGTTATAAATATCTTGCAAATCATATTCAATTAGTTTTTTAGCAATAATTATTTGATACTTATTAATTTATTCTATATTAAGTATATTAATAACTTCATTAGATTTAATATATCTTTGAAGATTTTTTTTTAAAATTAATTAGCTAACTTGTAAAAACATTGAAACCTGTAATATCAAATTTAATTGCAAATTGTTTAGCTTTTTATTGTAATACACCTTTACTTAATATTTGATTTATAGATAAAACTAAAATATTTTACAATACTAATAGCTTTATTTATTTTTTTATATATTTAATTTTTAAATCCTTTTCAATTTATATTCAAAATTAAAAATAGATAAATATTTAGATTTTTTTAAAATATCACTAATTATATTAAGTTTAATATTATAATATTTTAGAATTAAAAAATCACAGAATACTATATTACGTAACCTATTTTAATAAAATAAGTAAATTAAAAAAATTATAATAATAAGAGATTAAGAAATAATTAATCAAACAGAAGGTCATAATGGAAAAATAATTAGCCAAAAATCACATAATATTAAAGGAATAAAATAACTAGAATGATATAATAATATAATAAAACACAAATCATCTGATATAACAATTAAGTATATATATAACTAGAGTGTAATACAAATTATATAATATAACTGAAAAGTAATATGATAACTAGAATATTATATAATAACTAGATAGAAATATGATAACCAAAATATAATACAAAATAAATCACAAAATCTAAAAATACATTAACTAAAATTATAAAGAAAAAAAATAATTAAAAGAACTCTTGGAATAAAAAGAAGGAAAAATATAAATATGTATGAATAATATACAAAGATTTAGATGAAAAAAATCAATGAATTGAAACTATGAAATATTTGTATAATTATATTACTAAAAAATAAAATTATTAGAAATAGTAAAAAAAGAAATATAAATATATTTATAAATACAAAAAAAGAAAAAATTTATTATACAAAATTGAAAAATATAAAAAAAAGAAAGATTAATTAATAAAAGTATTAGAGAAAATCTAAAAATAGAAATAATATAATAATGACATCATAAATATATAATAATAATATATAATAGAATATATAATGACCTTTGAAATTGTGAAGAAAAAAGAAAACATAAAGGAAGTATTGGAAGAAAAGATAGGAAACAAAATAGAAATAAAATTAGAAATAAAAATTAATAATGAAATTAGAATTTGTAATTAGAAAAAATATTAATAAAAAAATAATAAAATATTAGAAAATAATAGTAAAGCTATAATGTAATAATAGAAATTAATAGTAAAAGAATTAGAAATAATAAACTCTAAAAACGTGAATAGAAATTAGAAATTAATAGAGAATTAGATTTAAAATGGAAAATAGAATTAGAATTAATAAGGAAAGAATAGAAATAAAGGTAGGATCTACAAATTTGATCTATTTATTGATGAAAATAATGAAAGTACAGTTGATGATAATTCAGATAATATTGGACCAGCAATAGATGATATAGTAGTAGTGAAAATTTATTAGAATATACAAAAAATTATTTTTGAATTTGTAAATTTTGGTTTTTTTAAATTTTATTTTTATTTAAATAGGTAAAGATAAAATTTTGATTTATTAGCATATTTGTATTTATATTTTACCTTAGCCATATCTTTAAAATTTTTAAATATTTTTAAATAATGATAAATGATAAAAAAAAATAACTCTTATATACTTTTTGCATATTTATATTTAAGACATAATAAATAATATTAAAAATTTTTTATATTTATATTTTTAATATATGATAAATACATTGAATGTAATCATATGAGTTAATTTGTCTTATATTACTAATTAATTTTTATGTAATAAATTATAAGTTTTAATCGACATGCAGTCACACGCTAATAAAAATAATGATAAAATCAGATAGTAGCCAATAATTAAAACTTTTGAAATTAGTTTCTCACAAATTCTCACAACTATGAAACTGGTTAAAATTAATTTAAAATTAGTTTTTTATAGAAGTAATATATTTTGGGTAGTTAGTGTGATAAAAGTGACAAAAGATTATAAACACATAATAAATGAAACTTTTTGATATTAAATTTAAAAATAATAGAAATAGTTCATATTATGGCAGAACAAAGTGAAAGTAATATTTTTTCTTTTTCATATAATTTTTGTTTTATAATAGAAAACTAAAAAATTTTATTTATTAATAGATATCTTTTCTAGTCACACTTTTGTATATGATTATCCAAATAGTTCAAAAATTGAAACTTATTACCAAGCAAATAGAAGATTATTTAGTTCATTTTATAACATTATTTCTTTAGAAACCTATTCTACTTTACTGAAATTAACTTAAAAATCAAAGTCTAATTCATCTTAATATACAATATCTGATAATTATGTAGTAAAAACAGAAGATTTTAATTGAAATTTTAGGTGTAAAATAAAATATATTTCATATTAAAAGGTGAACTATATAATTTATTAGAAGGAAAAATGTGTAATATAAAGTGTTAATAGCACAAAATCTTTCATTGCGGTTGTTAACATATTTCTACAGGTATTTACAAAGTGTTTAATTATTTATATCAAATATTTAATTGATTTAATTGATTTAATATAATTATGAGAGATAACTAGTACTTAGTTTAATTTATTTTTCTTAAATTTATATTTTTAATTTTATAAATTAATAAAGTGACTGATAGTACTATATTGTTAAAAAAAAATTTAATTGATTTAATATTATTTTAATTAAAAAATTAATTACAAATCTTTAACTAAACTTTTTAGGCCTCAGTTATTCAATTTTGATATTGAATTATTATATAATATTCGTTTACAAAGTGATTCTTATTCTACTTCTACTATAACAAAAGTTGATAAGTAAAAAAAACTAATGGAAGATATTATCTCACAATCATAATAAAACAAGAGATTAAGTAGTTTTGGAAATAATATTTAGTAGTATTCTGCAAAATCAGATCAGATCAAATTTTATTCAAATTCAATCTGATCTGATTTTCATTTTTTAGGATCTGAATCTGATCTAAATCTGATGGATTCGTTGAAATCCAGATCTGATTTGAATCTAACAGATCGAATCTCAAATTTGGATCTGATAGATCAGTTTAAATCCACAATCTGAATCTGAAAATTTTATTGAAAAAATAAATTTTCAGTTTAAAAGAAATCTGAAAATATTTCTTTTCAATAAAAAAAACTTTTCAGCTCTAAAAGAGTTCTGAAAAGTCATTTCTTTTCAATGAAAGAAACCTTTTCAGCTCTAAGAGAGTTCTAAAAAATCATTCTTTTTCAATAAAAGAAACCTTTTTGGCTTTAAAGAGTTCTGAAAAGTCATTTCTTTTCATTAAAAAGAATCTTTTTAGCTCTAAAAAAGTTCTGAAAAGTCATTTCTTTTCATTGAAAGGAACCTTTTCAGCTCTAAAAGAGTTCTGAAAAGTCATTCTTTTTATTGAAAAGAACCTTTTCAGCTCTAAAAGAATTCTGAAAAGTCGTTTCTTTTTATTGAAAGGAACCTTTTTGGCTTTAAAAGAGTTCTAAAAAGGCATTCCTTTTTATTGAAAGGAACTTTTCAGCTCTAAAAGAATTCTAAAAAGTCATTTCATTTTAATGAAAGAAACTTTTTAACTCTAAAGAAGGTCTGAAAATTCATTTCTTTTTCAATGAAAGGAACTTTTCAGTTCTAAAGAGTCTGAAAATTCGTTTTTTTTAATGAAAGGAACTTTTCGTTCTAAAGAGTCTGAAAATTTGTTTCTTTTCAATGAAAGGAACCTTTTCAGCTCTAAAAGAGTTCTGAAAAGTTATTCCTTTTTATTGAAAAGAACCTTTTCAGCTCTAAAAGAGTTCTGAAAAGTCATTCCATTTTAATAAAAGAAACTTTTTGACTCTAAAGAAGATTCGAAAATTCATTTCTTTTTCAATGAAAGGAACTTTTCAGTTCTAAAGAGTCTGAAAATTTGTTTCTTTTCAATGAAAGGAACTTTTAGCTCTTAAAAAGTTTTAAAAATTAGTTCCTTTTCAATGAAAAAAACAAATTTTTGGCTCTAAAGAAGTATGAAAATTTGTTCTTTTTCATTGAAAAGAAACTTTTCAGCTTTAAAAAAGTTGAATTCAGATCTGACAGATCAGATTCGAATCAAATCAGAATTTGATAGATTAGATCCAAATCTGAATCTAAATCTGATGAATCAGATCTGATCTGAATCTGAATATGAATTAGATCTGAATTTGATAGATCTAATCTGAATCTATGCGGAACACTAATATTCAGGATGCAGTTAATCAATTAATTATTAAGTATAAATTGACTAATTTATTTGGACAGCAAATTGTATATGTTCATAATATTAAACTTGATTATAAAGAAAATCAAGTTCATATTAGATTTAAGGATTTAGATTTTACAACTAATCAAATAAGACTTAATACTATTGTTTACACATGTGATAAAATACTCTTAGGATGTGATAGATATCATTATTTAGCAGCAGTAGTACTAATACTTTATCGTAAATATTTAGTTTTTAATCAAAGGAATAAGATAAATAAAATTATGAATACCTAAATACATATAGAAACCTTTAATGTGAATTATGAAATTCATTATAATCAATCTAATGATGTTTATGAGCATACTAATAATATTTAATAGATGATTATGAAATAGGAAATAGTGCTTTTTATTCTCTTTTGACATTACTTAAAACATTAATTCCTATTTGGAAAGCAGGAGAAAATCTTATAATAATTCCTGAAGATACTCTTTATATAAATTTGATAGTAATAGTAAGAATGTTAGAAGAAAACAAAATTACATAATTATTACATTTTGTTTATTAAATGAAGGAGATAATGTTCTTAAACTCAACCATCAATACAGGTATATTTTTTATGTAAATTATATGTTTTATATTATTACGCCAGTTCTTTTAAATCGCGGGTAAATCACCTACAATATCACAGTTTAGCAGAAGGTTTCCTTCACATGGAAGAGTAAGAATAAAGATACGAGATGAGAATTTAAAGAGAATCACGACAAACTGGATGAAATACGTATAAATAATTATTTAACAAACAAAAGACTAGTACTGCCTCTGTCAGCGCGTCTGTACTAAACAGTTTATTTATCAAAAGAATTATTCAAGACAAGATGGTTCTCTCTGTTTTTACATCGATGAATCATTCCTATTTATATAAAAATACTTACTAATAATGATAAAATAAATAAAATAAAGAAAATAGATAAAATATATAAAATAAATAAATAACATAAACGCAGTAAATAAAATAAATGATAAAAATGAAATAAATGCAATAAATGTCATAAATATCGTATGACGTACTAAGGCCTATTTATATAACAAAATTAGACTACCAAATTTAGGAAATAAGATATGTAAATTATTTAATTATCTAATTTAGTTACAGTACTACAAATCATTTTTAACATGACATGAAAATTGATCATCCTTTCAGCCTTGTAGATCATTTTTGCACATTATTTTTAGATGTAACATCACTCTCCTTCGAGATTTTGCGTCTGCGCAAAAATATTCAAAGCTTCATCAACTAATTCATTAAATTGACTTTTAGATACCTTTAGGATTAGATTGAGAGTTAAGTTTCGTGATCTAGCGATTTGGGATATTCCTAGTACTTTATAAAGATAATAAATACGGACTGAGGCCAAATAGTAATGTTGAGTTATTTCCTTAATATAAGTTGCTCGTGTAGTCACATTTTCCAAAGTTTCAAAAAATTGGCCTAAGTAAAAAGCATTAATCAAGAAAGAAATACGATTATAGATTCGTTTAGCTCTAAACATTGCTCTTGTAATAGAATAGAATTTCTCTTTTGTGTCCATTTCGTTAGTATAAGGTAGAGGGTATGATAATGAATCAACTGGTTCAGTCTGCTTAAGGTTGTCCAAAAGGAGTTAGTAAGGAGTATTATTCGTTAAGAAGATGTCGAAAGTATCCATTTTTCACCGACTTGTGAGGGAGGGCTTTTCAATGGCTTTTTATATTTAATTTTATTATTCAATTATCACCATTGGTTCAGGTAGAGGTCGCTGGTGATAAGGTTTCAGCTGTGCACCATTAATTGGTACTTTCAAAATTTTTCTGTCCATTGTTCTTAATTTGTAAACTCTGTTCTCTAAATCTGCATGGATGTAATAAGGTCCAGTCCAACGATCGTCCAATTTTCTTTTTCCTTCGATCTTAGTTT